ATATATAGAAAACCCCCCTATGGTTTCAAAACATAAAAAACGATACCTTATATTTTGAACTAAATTGTAAACTAATAGAATTCGTTAAGTTTAACGAAAATGACGGTCTCGGCCGTTAAACTTACCGGATTCCGTTAAGTTTACCGTTAAATTTACCGGATTCTATTAAGTTTTTTATTAAACTTATCGGATTCCGTTAAGTTTAACGAAATCTGTTAGTTTACAATTTAGTTCAAAACATGAGGTGTCATTTTATATGTTTTGAAATCACGGAGGGTTTTTCTATGTATTAGGCATACCATAAGGGGTTTTTTTGTTTTTAACTCTTAAAGAAAATTACACAAACCTAAATGCAGAACTTTAAAAGCTTAAATACAAAAAATAATTGTTAGTGAGGTCTTAGTTTAGTGATTAAATAACCAAAGTTGCAATGTTAGCAATAAGAGTTTCTAGCTTCAGCTATAATATGATGATTTATAATACGTTAATCCTACTACCGTGGAACAAGATTATTTCAAAGTAGCACTTTTACATTGTAACTATGGAAAAACATGCATTTTTTCAATAATAACTTTACAAAACTTAAGAAAGAGTAGTATTTATTTTTTCATATTTTTTTCCAAATGCACAAATATTTTGTAGAACAATAAATATTTCCTTTAGCATATATCACTTTTTAATCCAAATAAAATTTGTATGATTGAGTTCTTATTCAATTTAGTACGCTAGGTAAAGTGTAAATTCATAGTGTATTTATAACTTCATAGAAACTAATATAGTGTTTGGATTGTAAATTATTACACTTTTTTTATACCTTATTTACATACACTGATTTGCTTGCATCATCAACATATTTTCCAATCACCTTTTTATCTCATATACATCATATCAAAAAAGTGCTACAATGCTTTTTCACAAAATTTTCTCAAATAATTTACAATCCAAACACACTACCATTAATCTTTTATGCATTGATAGTGTATATACTATCATTATTGGATGAATGACAACATATCTAAATCTAAATTTAAAATCCAAATTTTGCTCATGTGTCATGTATCTAACCGTGATAGTGTATATACTATAAGTGTATATAAGATTTACTCTATTGATATTACAAAAGCATATAATTAAAAAGTGCCCCATTGAATTCACACTATTGAAAGTGCCGTATTCAATTTATCCATTTCACGAATTCTAGGAGCCGCAAGTAAGTGTGCTTGATGTTTTACAACTTGGTGATTTATAGCGCAAAATGTATCACAATTCTACTGCTTTGAAAAATATAAAGTAACAAATTTGTTGAACAATTTTGAATATTGGACTTGTATTGCCCCTAGCGTATCTTTTGGTCTTTTCTTTATTAGAATATTTATGTGGCCTACATGACCATATATAATATTACTAAGATAATCTCTTGTTGAGTAGAAGGATAAATACCTATATAAATGCATATAGATAACTAATTATAGAATTTTGAAAGAAATAGACAATTAAAGAAAGTAAGGAGTACCATATTGATTGTATGTAGACATATTATCTGATGATTATTCTAATACTTTATGTGATTTTTATAATGCTTATTGAGGTATATCTTATCGGTTGTATTTAATAGATTAAATATGATTTAGTTGATGATATTAACGTCTATTGTTATCCCATTATGATGGGAGGGATTTATAGACTCTATAAATGCATAAGCCTCCTAGTCCCTTTTAACAGATTAAATATGATTTAGTTGATAATATTAAAGTCTATCTTTATCCTTTATGATGGAAGGGATTTAAAAACTCTATAAATACATAAGCCGTTGATGAAATTAAAGTCTATCTTTATCCCATTATGATGGGAGGGATTTATAGACTCTATAAATGCAAAAGCCTTTTGGTCCCTCTCAACACTCCATGTACGTTGTCTAATTTACCCATCAATAAAACAACATAAATAGAGTTAGGTAAGGGAAGGCTAGGTTGCTTGGTGATTAGGTAAGGGAAGGCTTGGCAATGGAAAGTCTAGGTTGCTTGGTTATTGGAAACAACAGAGTCAATCGATCGTGAAGTCATCAATGAAGAGAAGGAAGTGCGGGAAGGCTAGGTTGCTTGGTGATTCGAAAAAGTAGAATCAATTGATCGTAATGTATCAATGGCTTAAAAGTCAATCAATCGTCCGGACAACTGTATTGACGGAATGATCATGGATGCTAGACATTAGTGAATTATAGAGTTAGATCATAAGGTACACCTTAAATTTATTACTATTATGATTTATAAGTTTTAACCAAAACCCTACTCTTTATGTCTAATGTTCTCATGTCTAACGTTCTCAAGCGCCAGAGTGGCATTCAATACACATATAGTTCAGAATTTATCTTCAGAATCGTGTAAGCTACGATCATGAGTCTTAATAAGAGAGTTGAGACCATCACCATATACTGTTGTGAGTTGCAATAAAACACATTCGAGTCTTAATTTTGGAATCATGTTAGACTCTCATAGAGAGAGCTAGATAGTTAATAACCCTTCATTGTGGTGATTGCATTATGACATGGAGACATTGTAGTCTTATTCTTACAGGTTTCAATTTAGTTTTTTTTTTCCATATTTCAGTTTAAGTTAATGCCGGCCACCCTTATTGGGTGAGATTTAGTTATTATTACTTTTTTGATAATTGAATTTTTGTTACTTCAAACTAATCATTACATAGCGGCGAATGTAAAATAGTTGGATACTCAATGTATGAACTACTTGATTGCCTCCCGGACTGGCTAGTCCACTGAAATTTGGCAAATTGGGATCATGAAATAAGTCCCTCTTATAAGCTTGAATTTGTACTTTTCTGAGTCATATACTAGAAAACATAACAAGAACGTGCTACTATATATGTTCAAAGCAAAAGTAAATTGGCTTTATAATCCAGTTTCTTTCTCTTTTTTCTTGTCTCCGATGTTTGTTTCATTCCCTTTCTTCCTAGACTGATAAGTGACTAATTTACGTAATAATTGTATGATATTTTATATTATTTTTAGTCACTTTAGTTATATTATTGGAAGAAAATGAATAATTTTGGCTATAATTGGTGAAAAATGCTTTTAAGTGATTAAATGAGGTTTTTATCACTTTTTAGTGGGATTTTGTGTATTTTGACAGTTTTGACATATTTTCATATTTCGGCTATAACTTGAGCTACAATGATCGGATTGAGATGATTCTTGAACCAATTTGAAGATAAGAGATAAATCTACAACTTTGGTGAAGACATATAAATCCAGTTTGAAGGTTTTCAAAGTCAAAAAGCTGAATCACAGTAGCAAATTTCTACTGGTCGAAGCTGAAACAGGGTAATGAGCAGGCAAGGGTATTTCAGTCATTTCTTAGCCTACACAGATCCAAATGAGGTGATTCTTGATGCATTACAAATCTAACTCAAAGGCCTACAAGTTTCATGTTTTGGTCAAGAGCTAAATTAGCTTTTATCATCAAGAAAAATTCAGTGGAAGTTGATGCAAAATCGGAGCAGAGCTGGAAATTGAACTAGAAGTGACCAAATGGTCACTGTAGCAATCCGGCCGGAATTTGGCCGGATTTGTGGCCAGATTGTGGTCAGAAAAGGCTGCTTTGAACACGTAAAACTCAATTTCACCTCCACCAACTCACATGTGATGCTAGACATGTGAGAAACATTCCCAGCTGTAAACCTCAAGTTTTGACCAATCTTTCATCTTTATATAGCTAAATTCATTGCAAGATTGAGGGAATAGAGGAGATACGGGAGAAACTTGGAGTGCAGAGATATAACTCTTGCATTTTCTGAGTAGTAGCAGTAGGTTAGTATAGAGTAGAGTGTTACCCATTCTTGCTTATTAGCTAGATGAAGAAGAAGATAGAGGATGAAGAAGGCAAGGAAGAAAGCTCATGTGACAAGGGTTACATTCCTTCCAAACTCTTTATCTTTTGTACTTGATTCCAAGTTTAGTTAATATACAAGTTCTGGATTTTGTGTTCAATATGTGTCTCTAAAGTTTATTAATTGGGTTTGGTTGAATTTTCTATAATTGTTAGTGTTTATTATTTGGTTATTTAATTGCTATGATTTGAGCAAGTTATTTAGCACTTTGGCTCTTTAAATGATTAATCTGGTACCATTGATTGTGATTATCTAAGGTGTTGTTTCTATAATGAAAATTGAGATTTAACACTAGTTCAAGAAATGCTAAACATAGGGAGTACACTCACGAAAGTAGAGGTGCACCTATGTGGTTTTTAGTGATTCATTTCATGTAATTTCATTGAAGAAATGAACTTGTAGCTAATTTCATAACCATGAAAATAGGTATGGATTAGTTATGAGTATAGTTGATTCACTATGAAAGTAGGTTTCACATGTTTAAGCAAATTACACCATAACTAGCCTAGATGTAGTACTAAATGATCCAAATATAGCACTTGCATGAGTAATTAGGGATACCACAACCTAAGGAGTTTTTATTTGTTATTTTGTATAATTTCAGTTGGTTAAATTTGTTATAATTCATTGATAGTCTAAATAATAGAGAAGCTTTAGTAATATCGGTAATTTTTCACTCTTTCTCGTGGGATCGACCCGATATATACCCTAAACTACTAGTTAACATGTATACTTGCAGTGAACGGGTGTAATTCGGTTTTTTAATTTGTACGTATATGTAAAATTCCCGTCATAGACTTATTAGTGCATTCCTTTGGTTGCCAACTCTGCCAAGTCTCTTATACGCATAACATATTTTTGTGTAAATTGCATTCATTCCTCGTAAACCTAAAAGTTGAGGCAATTGCTTCCCTTTCCCCCTCTCCCTAGTAGATTTGGAGTCTCTTCTTGAACCATTTAAAAAAAATGAAGTTGAATGGATAGCTAACCTCAACAATATACAAAAGGCATTCAAATTTCAGGACACTACATACTCTTTTAATTTGTTGGTGAGGGTAACTTTAGAGAAATCAAATATAAACCACCTAAATTAAAATGTTGACATTCAACATTATAGATATAGATTGGAATATTTAACATTTAGAGAAATCAAATACAAACCACCTAAATTAAAATGTTAACATTTAACATTATAGATATAGATTGGAATATTCCGAGGATATTCTCAAGTTTGTAACACGGTAAGATATATAAAAGGAATTGACAAACATATGAAGCAACCGGCTTGATTTCAAAGCTTCCATACATGTTTGGTAATATTTTGGCTTGGATGCTTGTTATGTCCAATTCCATCACTTTCAGCATTGCTGAGTTAGACATGGAGGACACGTCTGCGAAATTCACCAAGAGCCCAAATCGGGAATATATTTCGAAATGTGCCATATTGCATAATGCAACTCTTGAAAAACATTCCTACTGCTTCCTGTAAAAAAGTGCCAAGATTATAAAGATGCCATGAATCCAGTTAAAAAAAAAGGAAGAAAAGGGCATGAATTTACGAAGCTTAGTTGATCTATACATATTAAGTGGAACTGCAAAAATTGAGATATATGGAGGACCTTGATTACATACCTGCTGAGGAAAGTCACCATCTTCCATCTGCGAGTTTATTAGCAATCTTACGCCACGATATATAGGAGTTGGATCATGCTCACCCTGAGATCATAGGAAATTTCAAAAGGTATCATGGAGCAATGTACAAGGTTATAGATTTTTCATGAAAAAGGAATAGATTTTGTTATTTGTACATATTATGTTAGTATACAAATGAATATTAGTAATTTAACATTTATTATGGGTTAATTACATTTACCCCCCTTGAGGTTTAACTATATTATAGATAAAATCTTCAGATTTAGCCGTATTGCAGTCACCCTCCTGTCAGTAATTTTATAACATAAAATGATAAAACTACCCAATTCTGTAATATTTTTAATATGTCAAACAGGTCAGAGTTGTCTTTTTTTTTTTTCTTTCTATTTTTTTCCTCTCAAAACAGATGGTAGGGTGTTAATCATGAAAGCTGCAAGTAACGAGCAATTATAGCATTCCAATTGACAATGTCCCTGTGCCAACTCTCCTCAATAATTTCACATATCTCCCCAAAAATATATGACAATAGTATCCATTTCTACTTACGTTTCAGTAATTACATTAACCTCCTTTATAGGATGACATGTATACAGAAGAAAATGACAACGATAAGCTCTAAAGTGAATTATTAACTAGCACAAATTTATACTAGGAACATAAAGAACTCCTAGCCTCCTAAACAACCCAATTTATGCGTGTCATTTTCATTTATGCCCTCAGATCCCAAATATTTGGGTTGCCCTAAGTTTATCCTCTAAGTTCGACCTACATTCTCTACGATCGATCATTCATCACAACTCATGGCATTGCTTTCTCCTATCCCATCTCCCACTCCAAAAGGGGGAAAAAAATGCAGCTCAAATGTCGATTATCACGTTATTCATGCAGGAGAGATTATGTTATTTTGAAACGCCATGTTCATGTTGGAATGGGTACCTACCTATTCTTCTTCTTCTTATTCTTCCCTCCCCAGTTGCAAGTTTCTTGTACTAGGATTGACTTTTTTTTATTCTTCTTACCCCAAAATTATTGAAACGAGTTGGGCTATAGTTGAGCTTAATTTCTTTCTTTTTTTTTTCTCCTAAAAGGGTGTTTGATAAGTCCGTTAAGTACTGAAATTTCATTAATTTAATATTTTTTAAATAACGGTGGTTTGATAATTGAATTCTCTTATGATTAGGTTATGAGCACTTAGTTAGTGTTCAAAATTCTGAGCCAAAAGTTTTCATCACTTGCTTTGCTAAAGTTGAAGACTAATGTTGCAACACTCGTTTAAGATTTCACGCAGCTACACAATTTCAAATTTACACATATACATTCTCTTTCCGGAACACAAACTTTCATGCATATGAATACTCTCTCTCTCTCTCTCTCTATATATATATATATATATAGGGTATGTATGTATGTATGTATATGTATGAATGTATGCATGTATGTATGTTACTTTCACGCTCACACACACAATCTCTCTTGCAAACACACTAATTTCCTTGTCTAAGGCACACTTTCAAGCATTATCACTCTCTCATATGCACACACAAAGACACATATTTCTTATGTCAAACACAAATATTCACAAATAGATGCACTCTATCTCTCTTACGCATACTTTTTCTATTTGTATATCATTTATTATTATTAAAAAGGAAATACAATCAACTAATTAAATATAATAATGGAAACGTAATATTGTACTAGACTGTATAAATTCAAAGAATAGAACATTTCAATTCAGTGCTCAAATTCAATTGATTATCAAATGCCTATGGCTTTATGAATGCAACAAATTAGCACTTCACCCTTGAATTTCATTCTTTAGAATTAGACTTAGTTTTCAGTTTTATGAACTTCCCTAAATAGCAATAAATGGAAGGAGATGCAACAGAGCTTTCGCTATCGATTATAAATGCTGTTGTTTCTTATATTATTTTTATGAATCTTTTTCTGAGTGTATATTTTCTCTTGAGCAAGTATTTGCATATATCCAAATGAAATTGTTTATGAATGTGGGTGTGTATGTGTCTTAGAGAAGGACTCCTTTAGCGGTGGAAATGAACATTTGGAATGGCACAGTAGTCGTTAGGGTTGGAATAGTGGGTTTTGGCTCATTAGAAGAGAGAGGGATAGGGCTTTAGGGAGAGGAAAGTTTGGCTAAACCAAAGGTGATGGAAAAAAAAAAGACAGAGTAGTGAAGGAAACCAAGTTGTCTTAGGCAAGTTGATCACCAAAAGGGAATTAAAATCTTTTTTTGGACTATAGATCAGAATTCAAATCTCGCATTCTATAGGTAAAAAAACTCAAAAAGTGTGTCAAAACATCTCTTTGATCTAGATGGACATATCTTCCTTCTAACTCCTTATACAACCCAGTTAAACTCTCCTTCTCTACAATAGAATAGTACAAATATTACCAATTGACTTAAAAAAAAAAAAGAAATAGTAGTGAAGGACTTTCATCGAACTATCATACACCCCAAGGGAGGTTCATGGAATAATCCCATTAAACAATTTATCCATTTGACTATTGCATTTTATTACAGGGACAATTTAGAGAAAAGGAATAAGAAGATTCAAAATTTATAAACAGTCACACTGACTAGTTATAAGAAGCAAAATTTGTATCTTTTGATATTCCCACTGACCTGCCCAGCAGCAATCAAAGTTAACAAAGCCCATGAAGTTTGCACCAAATTTGATCTGTTTCCTTCAAGATTAATGTACTCCTGTTGCAACAAAATGTTAAATGAATGAACAATTTAAGGTGATAACTCATAAAACAATAAAAGATATTATCAAAACAAACTAATTGATGTGTCTATAGTGATACATTAATTACTTCAAAATGGATGAAACTATTGGAGATCAAAGAAAAAGAAAAAAAAAATTATGAACCTCATTTGAGCAAGAAACATAACTCTCTCCCCATCCACCATCAGGCAATTGCTTTGATAGCAAAAATCTACAAGCCTTTCGTAGAGTCTGGGAGTTTTTATAGTTCTTTCCTGAAGCAACCAGTGCTTCCACCGCAAACCAGGTCGCGTAAGTGTAACAAATGCCCCAGCGACCAAACCTATGAAGAATTCAAACCTTCATGATACGCTGATGTTGACTGTTATTATTCGTTAAAATTGCATATAAATGGGGACTAAACTTTGTCAAAATCATAATAGTTATAGTAATAGGGATAAAAGTCAAGAAAATAACATTCAATGGGTATAATAGGAAATTTGGTAAATTTTTAAATATTTGTAAGTTATAATGCTTTTATTAATTTCTGATGGATAAATCTGAATGCTTAGAGATTATATTCCATAATAAAGAAACTGTCCATAAACTTACCCAAAAAAAAAAAAAACTGTTCCTAAGATCTCGTTCAATTCATAAGGATATTAATCAGGTATATATGAGATCCTTGATTCAATTTTCAAAATTTCTTCTTCCCCCCTTCACCATTGTAATGGAACGACGAGGGAGAGGGGGCGGGAGTGGGAAGGAACAAAAAAATTAAAAAAATGTTAAGTTAGGATATAGAGAAGCGGACCATGAGCCACCTTGTTCTTTTTTCTTTTTTTTTTTCAAGCAATGATATTACTAATATAACAACAATAATGAAGATAAAAATGAAGAGATAAAAAAATCAGGTGACAAAATAGGAACATTTCTAAAAGTCTAATAACTTTTAGGCGAAAACATTTTCATTACTTTCTAAGTGGTGATAGATTTGATTGCTTAGAGATTATATGTCGGAATAAAGAAACTAACTTTTCTTTTTTTCTTTTTTGTGAAAAAGAAAGTAACAAAGGTAAAATCAGGATATAGAGAAGCAAACCATGAGCCATCTTGTTTTTGTTCATCTTCAATATAAGCTATAGCTTTGCAGATACAAGTCTTTATCTCCGCTTCCCTATGTCCAGGATGCAACTTTTGAAAGAGAATCAGAGATTGAATTGCTGAAGAAGTGCATTCCACATACCTAGCATTGAACTTGTTTCAGTCCAAGTAGTTTTTTTTTTTTTTCTGTGATCACAACAAGAAGACTGGAAATCGAGGATGGGGGAGCAGGAAAGAAAGAGAGGGACATCTGACCGTCGTTCGATAATAACTTCTGCGAAGATTTCAATTGGATTGAGTTTCTACATTGGATTACGAAAATAATGTTTTGTTAGGACAAAAGCAAGATGATGGTATAATGTGGAACTAGTTGTTACTGTTACCTCCATCCAGCGGCATGCTTTCTCCGGCTCCCATACAGGAAATCCACCATTCTTGTGCTATTTATAATTTGAGAAAAGGATCACAAGCCAAAAAAAAGGTAAAATGACTGGAAAAGATCGGTAAATTATGTAACCGACTAATAATTCAAAATAAAAATTAACTACTTTTGCAATTTTGTAGCCAAAGAGTCGAATATAGTACCCAGCCACATTATTAGAACTGATTTATTTATTATAAGTATGTTATATGCATCATATTTTGTTGATGTTTTAAGTAATTTCCAATCATTTCTTAATCAAAACCAAATGTTGAAGTTGGAATTAGTGTTACAATTTGATGCTTGAACATGTTGATCAATGATTGAACTTTTGTCCTTTTTCTTACTCATTTGGTTGATTAGTATTGTACAGAAAAAGGCAGGAGAATTTGAGGAAATTGGATTGCCAAAATGAGCAAGAAAAACAAGAAGTGTGCGTATAAAAAGCAGCTGTGAGACGGGAAGAAACTGAATGAAGCTTGCAACGGTTTCATCTGAGGATTCCGAACAGAATGGTTTCCCCAACGTTGCTCAAGAACACTTTGCAGAAACCAGCCCAGAATCCCACGAGCATGCTGAGTTTTCTCCCCCAGTTTCTCTAGTTACACAACTTGTGCACTTGATTCTTTCTTGCCACATGCTACTTGCTTTTGGTTGGAAAGTTGATTGGACATATTGATGGCTTGAAAATCAATGACAACTTAACATCGACAACACTTTTAATCATCTCAAATCATCTAGATTCCACGGAGCCATCTTTCTTGACTTTTTGAAGATAAATTTAACTTTGTGTTCACATAGAAAAAATGATTAACTTTTTGTCTTGTAGAGCTAGACCAATGGAGGGCAATATAAAACGAGTAGTACTTGGACATAGAAATGAGGAGAGGTTGGAAGGATGGTGTTAGCTAATAGTTCACTTGTAGTAGTAGTAGTAGTTCTAGATAAAGGAGAGCAAAGTGAAGATCTCTTCGTGAAGAGATACTTTTGTATCAAAGTTGAAGAACAAGTAGTAAAGAAGAGTTTGAGGAGTTCATCCTGAATAAGATTTCTTCAATTTTTTCTCTTATTTTTTACATGTTATTCATGTTTTGTTTCAAAAGTAATATGTGCTTTAACATGTCAATTTCCATGACAAGCTAAATCAATAGTTCCCAGGGATAAAGATGGACGTGTAGTTTTTTGACTTGATGTTAATTTGTGTTGAACTTGGCTATATTGTGGACTTGTTAGTTCATTTATTTGTACGCAAAATTTGTAATTGTCTATGCTCCAATTATGAATCATCAAAGCATGTGTTAGTGCTAGATCTTGCATTGCGTGGTGTAATTCAAAATGTACGAACATCAGATTCCATGTTCACAATTGTAGGAGACGAGTTTAAGTGGACTTGATATGATAATTTCAGAGTTTCATGACCTTATACTAAATTAATTCATCATGCAAATAGTTGGAGATTTAGTATAAGTATGTTTATTTATTGGTGAAAATAATTTATAAATGAGTTTGGTAGTTATGTCCTTAGTAAGTCATAAGTCACTAGCCTTGATCAACCAAATTAACTACCTTAACTTAAACTACAAGGAATTCAAATCCCTAAGAAATTTCTTCATCAAATTTATGACTTGCTATCTTTTCATTAGTATAGTATAATTGTACAATTGTCTTTACTTGAACTTTTATTTGTTTAGATAATAAAGTGCGTTTAAAAAAGCATAGTAATTATTTTGATTCTCTCCGAGATCGACCTTAATTTATTCTATATTTTAATTTGACCTATATACTTGGAATCAAACAGAGTAATTGACTAGGTAAAATAACTTGCAAGCTAGCTCACGGAATTTACATTATGATTGGTCCTTGAATTGTCATTTTCCAAACAATATGATCCATTAGTAGCAGCTCGATCCAAAAAGACCATTACATCTTTTCTTTGAAGAATAGGGTCGTCCCTTTCTCTTCGTAATCTTCGAATGTATTCTTTGTGTGACTCACGATCCTTTCTCTTGAAGAAATTCGCGAGTAAGAAAATCTAGTAATGAATTATTTTCACCTTTAATATATTCAATTTCAAAATCAAAAACAGATAAAATAGCTTGCCATCTAGCAAATATTTGTTTTGAAACAAGATTTTAACATCTTTTTGTAAAACTTCTTTTGCTGATTTGCAATCAACTCTTAATAAAAAAGTTTTATTTATCAAATCATCTTGAAATTTGGAAATACATAATACAATGGCTAAAATTTCTTTTTTAATAGTAGAATATTTTTGTTGTGTGATATTCCATGCTCCTGAATGGAATCTTACTAATTGTTCCTGGGAATTTTCTACCTTTTGTTTGAGTATGCCGCCATATCCCTTTTCGGAGGCACCTGTTTCTACTATCATTTTAGCATTAGAGTTTGGAATACCTAAACAGGGTAATTCTATAATCTTAACTTTTAAATATCTTATTTTTTGGGTATGTTCTTCTGTCCAGGGAGAGGGATCCTTTCGTAATCTCTGGAATAATATTCTACATTCTGTTCTAAGATTTGGAAAGAAATCTGCTACATGATTTAAACATCCTAAAAATCTTTGTAATTGATTTTTATCTTTATTTTCATCTGGAAATTTACTTGTAAATTCTAGAGCTCTTGTGATAGGTCTAATAGTTCCTTTGGTTATATTATGTCCTAAAAATCTTATTTCTGTTTGAAATAATTTCATTTTTGGTGCTGATAATACTAATTCATTTTTCTTTACTATATTTAGAAATATTTTAATATGTCTAAAATGTTGTTCTATTGAATTTGAATATATTAAAACATCATCAATATAAACTATGATGAATTCACTGTGATTATTAAATATGTCATTCATTATATTTTAAAATTCTGATGGAGCATTTTTTAATCCAAAGGGCATAACTACCCATTCATAATGTCCGAATGGGGTAGTGAATGCAGTTTTATATCTATCTTTTTCTGCTATAATAATTTGCCAATATCCTGATTTTAAATCAAATTTTGAAAATATTTTTGCATTAAATAATCTATTTAATAAATCTCTCTTATTTGGAATTGGATATCTAATCCATTGTAACATTTTATTTAATGGTTTATAGTTAATAACTAGTCTTGGAACTCCTCTTTGTGTCATCCATCGTTTTAACTTAGCTGCCATATTTGCTAATTTCTTCTATTCATCTATCATATGGGAACACCAGAGTCTTATGCCGGGAACACCAACTCTCTAGGCTTACCAACGGTCTCACTAAGTCTCAATGGCTTACCAACACAGCATAGAAAACAGTCAAAATATAGCATAAATAGTAACTGTAATTAAAACAATTTTTGACCAGGCTCTGATACCAGAACCAGCCCAGGCATGAACAGAAAATTAAATTAAGAAGGCAATAAATAATTGAAATCAGGCGTGTTGAAAGAAAATGAAGAGAGGGTTTTGAACTTACTTGTAATTAAAGTTCTTGAATAGTCTTGAATTTAGGAATTAGATGAGCGTGGGGCTTGGAAGCGAATGTGAATGAAAACTTTTTGATCTTATTGGAGACTAGGAGAATGTTTACAATAAGGAAGGCTCAGATCACATAGATTGATCGATGCCTGTCTTTTGAAATTCTACATCTATTTATACATGAATTTAAATGCTCATTTCATTGTCATTTCATTTGAATCTTATCTTCTTATCTTCGTAATCTTGAAATCTTTATCTGATTGGATGGAGCTATCTGTAGCTTTTGAAATGTTGCCAACAATCCTTTTTGCTTTTAGTAGTCATACGGATCTTGTGCGCATGGCCCACCAAAAGGGTCAGATGTTTGAGTGGGTGATGACGAAGATTCCTCTGCCGTAGTAGATCCAGCTGTTGTGGGTCCTTGATTTGAAATTCCTTTGTCTTCTTTCGTTTGTTCTTTCAAATAATTCAGATGTTCTTGAAGCATATCTGGATTTGTCATCATTTTTGAAAGAAGAAAATCTTGAGCCGAATTTGCTGCTTCTTTCTCTTTTCCTTTTGAAGAGATGTTTGGCCTTTGAATACTTGAAGAGGCAGCGGCCTTTTGAAGCGGACTTTTTTCTTTTGTTTGAACTGTCACTAATTGCTGCATGGTCCATTTGAGTTTTTCGCCTGTTTGAAGAAATTTAAATACTGTCTCTTGGGAGCATATTTCTTGTTTGAATTCATCCCACCATTTAACTTTGAATTCTCGAACCAAAGACATTGGTAATGGTGCTTCTAAATCTTGCATAATTTTGAAACTCCAGCAAAATATCCAAGGTACTTTGAATTCCGTGTGAAATAATATTGAACGAGTATATTCTTCTCCTTGAATCTTTTTGTAATAAGTCTGAAATCCCATTAACACTTTTGGAGGATATATCTCCTGTTGAGGTCCATAATATCTCCACCAATGATAGAACCAAATTGGAAAATCCTTTGGGCAATGTTCATGGAATATAAAAAACCATGAATGATCAAATGGTCTGTATAGAAAAGCTCTATACCAGGCCTATTTGTAATCATGATATGTGAATCCTTCTGGAATCCTCCGTACTGAAAAATTCTTTTTTGAATAAATAGAGGCCCATTCTCCTGGGGAGCAAACCTTTTTAATTATACATTTGCAATGGGCTATTTCCTTTGGATTTGAAGGATTGGGTTTTACAATAATTTCAACTGATCCAGTATCAAATAGAATCAGTTCATAATAAGATTAATTTTTGAGGGAGTCATCAGGACACCAATAGCATCCTTTTGGGAAAATCCTTTGAGTAAGTGTTTTAAGTGTGGCATAGGTAGGTACTTCTTTGAATTTAGTTAGAGTAATATGTTGAATCAAGGGTTTTATAATGTAAGGAGATTTTTCTTTTGCAATTAGGGTTTGTGGTGCTTTTGAAGAGTTGGATGAATTTTGAGCTGCTTGAACATAAGATAAAGCTGGGAAATCTTGAAATAAACTATATCTATTTGAAGTAGGGACCTTACTTTGAGACATTTCATAATCCTTTGGAGTGCGA